GTTTTCTGAAGTTGTGTTTGGCATTCATTTGAGATCTGGAGAAATGGGAGAAGGCTGTAGATCTTGTCTGGGAATGTTTCCGCTTGCACACCCCCCTCCGTGGGTCTGAGCTGATGGGAATAGGTACAATTATTAGCAATTAGCTGTTTGTTCAGGGCGATGTGCAGCGTGGCTGTTCCTTCAAGATGCCTTGTGAGATCTTTTGTGATTTCCCTACGCACACGCTTTCTAAAGGAGTGTTGAACCGCAGTTTGAGCTGTGGGATTAAACGGTGTTAGCATCCTGCTGTGCAGGGACCTACCTGTAGGGTGAACTGGAAGCTCAGCGTGACCCTGGCCCTAAAGCTGAGGAAAAGTGCATGCTTGAGCCTTGGGGTGAGTAAAATGGTGCTAGTCTAAACGTACGTGGTTGGAGAATATCTCAACGCGAGCACAGCTCGTCCCTGTAATTCAGGCTGTCCCAGGCAGGCACGCCGGGACAAACACCCAGGCCTGAAACCATCTGCAAGAGCTTCAGTCCTTCCGCTGAGTTCCATAATCGAACATTCCCTACTGTAGTTACCTGCCTGATAGCAAAAGCGGGCACTCTTTTCCATGTAAAGGAAGAATTTTGTTCAATTTTTTTTCTCCAGTGAACAGTTGTTGTGTGCTTTGTGTTCATCACCTTTGTTGCAGATACGCCAGTGCGGTTCTGGAGTTCAATACGTCCTCCCTCAAACCTTCCGCGAGGCAAAAAGCGCATGAGCTGGGCTCCTCTAACTGCTGACGGTTGTTGGTGACTGTGCCTGCTCCTGCAACCCGTCGGGGGCATGGCCTGACCTGGTGGAGTGCCCCAAACCCTCCACAGACCACCCCCTGCCAGCTCTGAGCATGAGCTTCCACAGGCCACCTTCTCCGCGGCTGGGCGATGGTGTAAGGGGAAGGAGTGGTTGTGAAGTGTGAGAAGAGGGTAGAACCTCTGCATTTTACCTGTCATTCATGGTTTTTGTACTTGCAGGTAATGAAAGACTTCGATTGCTCTAGCTAGTTAGTCTTTTCGGTTTTTCCTTCCCTTTCTTTTAAGATTGCACCGCAGGTAAGTGTGAGTTAAAAACTTAGAATGATTACCAGACCCCTGGAAAAAAATGAACGGTGACAAGGTTTTTCAGAACTTGTATGTCAGGGTCAGCTTGGTGGTAGCTTTATTTGGTTACATTCATTCAACTTTCCT